CTCACTGCACAGGTCATATAGGAGTAAAATAAAAATAAAATTATAAATGGAGGAAGTCGATGTGAAATTTTCAATATATTTATTTTCAAAGCAAGTACCAGTTATCAATCCCGGTCGGAATGAGGTCAATCTGTAAGTTATTTTCATCCACTACCGGCGTCGGCAGCACCGCCGCCGCCGGCAAGCACGTCTTGCACAACGGACACGAGTTCGAGACTGTGAACCACTGTTTCACACACCCCGGGTGAAACAGATGGCCACACGGGAGGCGTAGCCGTGTGGTGTCCATATTTTCGTCGTCAAGACACACGGCACAGACCGTCAATTCTGGATCCTCAATCTCAGGCAGGCGTTGCACAGTCTGCGTGTCGGCCGCCACCATCCCCCTCCGACTCCTCACTATCAAAGTCGCATCCGCAATAGCCGCGGCTTGCGCGGCTGCACCGGCTGCGCTTTCTTGTATGCGTCTGGTTGCAAACACGGCATCGGCGGCCTCCGCCCGTATGCGCAATGCGGCTATTTCTGCCATCATGACTTCAGTGTCCCATACATATTCATCAGGTGTTGTGCTGTCGGGCACCCCGTTAAGTTCGGGCATATTAGTAAATTAGATGATAATATTTTAGGAACGAAATTGGACTGTGGGCTTTTCTGTACACGATGTCGTCGTTATATACGCGTGTATGCGTAAAAATATATCTAAAATCCCAGCACCACGAGGTTCACGAATCAGGATTGTCCTATCAACCAACACAATTTTTAGTTTTAGGACTTTGGGTGTCCGTATCGACCCCCGTATGTATATACCCTATGTCTCAAAAAATTATAAAATTTGGACTTTGGGTGTCCGTATCGACCCCCGTATGTATATACCCTATGTCTCAAAAAATCCAAAATTTGCAGTATATAAGAGAGTCCATTTGGACTTATCTTTTCTCTTTTAAAATTTTCGAGTTTATACACCTCTCACATATTATAGAAGAAAAAATGTCGCCCTTGGAAGATCCCGAATGCTCCATCTGCTGTGTCGACAGCGCTGACCTGCCACCCGCCACCATCCTTGTCGAGTGCCCCTTTTGCGCCATGTACGAGTGCACTGTTTGTATGGAGCGCAATGCCGCGTCGTCCACCAAACCCGGACCCATGTGCATGAACTGCGACGGCCTCTACACACTCTCGACCCTGCAAAAACTCCCCAAAATAGTCCGGGGTCTGTATGAAAGTTGGAGTGCCCGGTACCTGCTTGCCCAGGACGAGGAACGCCGCTCCGACCCCGTTATACGGGAGACGGTTGCTCTGATCAAACGGTCCATACGCGACGCCCAGGCGAATGTCATACTTTGCCGCTCAGACAAGACGAACGCATCGAGTGGCAGTCTTCTTATCGAACACGACCAGAACTCTTACTCTCACGTCACCGACACCTCTGCTGCTACCACCCTAGTGTCCAGTCGCAGACGATTGGCAAGGCCGGGCTCTAGGGTCCACAAGGCCCACGGCATCGCTAAGAAAAAACCATCGTCGTTCCGTGCCAACTACAAGAACAGCAAGAACAAATACCTAGCTCTTATAGACCCCACTGTCCTGCCGGGCGCGTGGTCGGACTCTGGGGTGTTCATCTATGGTGCCGTGCCCGCCAAAACCGCGACCGCTATAGTCACCCAGTTTCTCCGAGAGATCACAGCAACACGAGAGCCAGCTGACGATACTGGTCGAGAGGGCGCCTCTAGCCGTGTGCAGATTGCGTGCCTCACCCCCGAGTGTCCGGGATACCTGTCGTACCCTACAGGTTTGTGCTTCCAGTGCACCAAGGTGTACTGCCGTGCGTGTACCCAACCCCTAAAACTGACCCAGATAGCTAATGCTATGCTTATTGACAGTGTTCACCCGGATTCCTCTTCGCTAACCCGGCTGGCAGCGCTTGCCGTGAAGGACCACACTTGTGACCCAGACCGGCTGGCCACCGAGAAACACCTGCGTGACACAACCACGGCGTGTCCGAACCCCAAGTGCGGCGCACGCGTCAGCAAAACCTGGGGGTGTGACCAGATGTGGTGTACAATGCCGAATTGCCGCACCCTGTTCTCGTACATGACGGGTAAACGCATCACTAGTGGGTTCGTACACAACCCACACTACACACAGTACCTGCGAGCCGGCGGCGAGCGCGTTACGCTCGGTGCCGAGGACATTCCAGGGGTTAACCCCGATGCAACGACAACCACCAACACCGATAATGGACACCGGTGCGAGAACGACTTTGGTACCACGGCCGAAAAGGTTGGGGACCTGTACTACTCGAATACCGTGGACGATCTCATGACGTATCTGGTACAAATCCGCGATCTGGACCTACCGGCCCTGCTGGCGTTCCAGAGCCGTATATCTAGGGATAACACCGTCCGGTATTTGTGTGGGTTCATGAGCGAGACGGCCTATGTACGCTTGCTACGCACACACGACGAGCGCATGGTAGTCGCGGCGTGTCTGTACACATGCATCCTGCAGTACACGGACCTGGGGGCTCAGTTGATGTTGGACCTGTGTCTTGAGCACGAGCCCGAACCGGTTGTGGTGTCGGCAATCGACAAACTCACCCGCATGGTCACACAGACGACCATGTCGGAGATCCGCAAGATTACCGGCAAGACGATGTTGGTGACCGTGACGTCCAAGGAAGTGATTGTGCCGCTAGCGGGCGTGGAGTTGTCAAAACGGACGTTTTAAAATTATTATTAAAATATGTAACCCAAAAACCCAAACGTAGTTCCCACCATACCACCCCTATGGTTTCACCATACACCCCCTATGGTTTCACCATACACCCCCTATGGTTTCACCATACACCCCCTATGGTTTCACCATACACCCCCTATGGTTTCACCATACACCCCCTATGGTTTATGGGGAAAAGTCGAAATCAACTTTCGGGATTACAAACATTATTTTCGGGATTACAAATAGTATACGATGGCACCCACTACTAATGCCACAACATGCGACTGGCGCATCGTCGAGAACTGTCCCGCACAGATTGACACGGAGGCAAATGGTGATACTGGACTTTCATCAATCCATGTTGTCGGTGATCGGACAGTGGAGGGTACATTCTTTAGTGCCAGGGGTATCGCAGATTTAGTCGGCGTTGCAAGTCCACAGACAGTCTACAATACAATTCCGAATGAACACCGGGTGAAAATCAAATCCAAGAACACCTGGGCCGTGTACCTTGATACAATTGGGTTAATGATGTATCTATTTTCCTCCAAACGTGGACGTCAGACCACATATATCCAGTGGATTATGAACATTGTCGCTGCCTACTCAACAAGTGATGTGGCGAAAATCCAGGATCTCGTCAAGCCCGTACTTCAGGTGACTCTGGGGTCCAGAGGTATATCAACCATTGATAGTGGTATCTACATGATATACATTGGCAAGGTACAGGACCTTAGGCACCTGTGTGTGACACTACCAGCGAGCTGTTCTGGTGACGACGATGTCTATAAATACGGGAAGTCCGACAACATCCACCGCCGAATGGGCGAGCATAGTATCTCGTTCAAGGATGCGGATCTCAAGTATGCCGTGTACATTGCGTCACACCTGACTGGTACAGCGGAGCGGGCAGTCTCTTCTCTTATCAGTAGTCACTCGGCGGCAACAAGATTCCCTATGAACAAACACCGCGAAATTTTTTCTGTACCTGCCTCTATGGCAAAGTCTCTACTAGATGAGGTTGTCCTTACTTGTCGCCAAGTCTCGGCTGGTAGCCTCGTAGAGGAGCAACGATTGGCGGCCGAGTTGGAAAGAATTAAAGATGGTATTATCACGGACAACAAGTTGCACGAAAAGACACGAGCTACGGAGGTCAAGTACACAAGTCAGCTAGCTGACATGGCTGCACGTGAAATCGAAAGTCTGCGTTCGACCTTACGTACTTCAGAGGACGCACGTAAGGTTGCAGAGGATGCACGTCTAGACTTGAGTCAGAAACTAGCATCATCACAAGCACAACTCATTGAGCTAGCAATGTTGGCTCCGGCCCGCAAGCGGGTGAAAAAAGACTGAACTTTTTTTTTGTATTGGAGTTTATGAAAACCACACAGCGTACACTGGGCCGTTGTGTGTGTGTTCGTCACTTTCACCTTTTTCCAAAATAAATTTCAAAGTTCAAAAAAATAAACGTCTTGTTTTCAAATCGAGAATAGGCTCTGATTATTCAGACTTCCGATAATTTTTATTGACGGTTCAGGAAAATCGGGCAAACAGCGATCGTCGATACGTCCGCATCCGGTGGTTCAACACATGTCCCGTCGTTGAGCTGTCCCGCTCGCTCTCACTACACTCTAGACACACGACACGACCAACGTGTCGGAACCGCGTACTAGAAGGTACTGACGTCACGTAGTCGCCGTTGTGCATAATGCGGATCTGTGAGAACCGCCCGTGGAACTTGTCGGATGTGTCTAGCTCCAAGACTCGTGGGGCCCCAAAGGTTATTAGGCTAACGTCGACGTACATAGTGGTGTTGCGATGCGCGTGGTAGGCCGTTGCCAGCAGCGTTGCCACTGCAGATCCGCGACTGTGTCCGATAAACCGGATGTGCGATGTTGTACCGTAACCGCACTTACTGTCAACTATGTGATGCATCCCGCTCGCAAAAAAATGCGTTGTACGCGGCCACGAAGCCCCCGTGTGCGCTGCCAACGACTGTGTCGTCGTATAAATACTCGGACACGGAAGTGTTAAAGTTGCTGACCCAGTTGCGCATACTGTTTGTGGCCGCAATGATTATCCAACACTCGTCGTTGTAGACGTGCACTCCCATTTCGTCTTGATCAAAGACGTGCTTGTACTTGTCTTCCATCGCAAACGTGGCCCCGGCCAACATTGCGTCTACGGGCAGACCTTCGTCTTCTTCGCGTGCTCGCACTCGATCCATCTCCCAAATCCCCGCCAGCGATTCGGCGCTGGTCATGAGTATATCGACATCCACCTTTTCGTCCACAACTCTGTTGACTAGGTCCACGAGAAACTCCGCGACGTCTTCGACATGGGGCGCGACCACCGTCAACGCCGCAAACCGTGTCACGTGTGCAAGTATACCCATTGTTCAGTCTGATAACGCAATGAGCTGATTGTTCAGCTTAACCAATTTTTTTTAGGCTAAAAACATTTGCGGTGCGTGTTTGAACGTCAATTTCACCTTTTTCCAAAATATGTCAACACGTGTATAAGCGAATCACCTTTTTCCAAAATAATAAATGTAAAATGGTGAATTCACCTTTTTCCAATATATGTCGCGTGCATTTGTGTCAAAACGATTTCCGCCAAAAAAAAAATCCTCTTGTTTTGAGGTATATAAAAATCGAACTAGTCCACCCAAATCATTCATTTTCTTTTTCTTCCGAATCGCGACTACAGAAGGGAAATAAAATGTTTTCTCGACTCACTACCTATGTCCGTCGACTTTTGTCTCCACCGAGTGGATCGCGTAAACGACGTCGCGACCGCAACCGGGGATTCCCGTACCGCACCCCCACGGCTCCGGTAACTGCGACGGATAGCGATATCGACCGTAAAGTTGACGATACTATAACTTCACACGAGGCCGTCAATGCGGTTGCAACCACAAACCTCCAATTGCCACCTCCAATCCCCGTTTTCGAGTTCGAGTATGAGCCCGAATACGATATGGAGTCAGATTCCAGCTCCGAATCTCCCACGGAACCCGATACTACGGCCAACGAAGACACTCCTGCTCCGGAGGTCCTTGTGGCTAAAACCTCTGGTGCCCTGTCGTCGTCTCATAGCACTACCAGAAGCCAAACGTATACAGTCACTAGTAACGCCCGCCGCGCCCTCGCACGGCTCGCCATGCGTGAGCTGTACAGCAGCTCCGAGGTCCGAATTGTCTGTAAGACCCAACTCACCCACGCCGATATGGACCGACTCTTTGACACCTCCGATGCCCGCAACACCGTCATGTTGCTATTTACCGCCCAGCACAATCCCGACGTTGCCGACACCATCGTTACTCAGCTTATTTTGCGCAACCGCTTCTCGGACATTTCCCAGCTACGCCGCTTCCCCTACAAGTCCAGCGAGCTGTTGTGCACCCTACTCACCGTCGCCGCGGCCCGAAACTACCTGTGTACGGTGCGCCACATCCTCCATTCACCCACCTTCCAGAGGTCGCCCCGCAACTCGGATGCTCTCGTCCAGGCCGCCATCCACGGCCACACGGCAGTTGTCCACACCATGTGTGCCGACCACCGCATAGACCCCACGGCCTTCCGCTGTCTACCGCTGATCATGGCCTGTCGTCACGGCAACATGTCTGTGGTGCGCATCCTCATGACCCACTCCGGTGTGCGAGCCAGACTTGCGGAATCCGACTCGTACGTGACCCGTGCCCTGTGCGAGGCCGCCCGGACCGGCCAGTTACCGGTCGTTCGCATGCTGTTGGTCGACCCGCTTGTTAATCCGGCTGCCTGTGACAATGCGGCCCTGCAGAACGCCATCTGTGGCAACTCAGTGACTGTCGTGCGCAAACTGCTCACCGATACCCGCGTCGACCCGTCGATTCCAGTTAACGGAGCTTATCTGGGTGGCCACACCAGGACCCGTGACATGACCACCGTTCTTGTACAGGCCTGCAGTGCCGGAAACCCCAACACCGTGCGCCTGCTCCTTTCGGATCCACGCATCGACCCTACTGTGTTTGAGAATCGGGCTCTCGTCGTTGCCGTTATGAACGACAATGTATGCATTGTGCGCATGCTGCTCGGAGTCCCTGAGATTGATCCCTTTGCGCACGAGTCCAAGGTCCTGGTCGCCGCCATCGCCAAACGCAGCTCGGATGTGGTCGAAATTTTGGTCACGGATCTGCGCATTGACCAGACCTCGTATGACAATGCACTAGAACTCTGCAGCGGCTCGGGCTTGTTGCACTGTGTAAAATTGTTACTGGCCAACACCGAGTACGAACCCACCTCCGACACCAACCGGTCGCTGGACATGGCCGTCTACTTTCGCCACTTCCACGTCGCCAATGTGCTGATGCGCGACGGGCGGCTCCGGGCCTTGGGGTTAGGTAATTTGCACGCACATCAGCAATATAAAAATACCTTTTTCTATCAAAAAAAGACGTTCGACGTAAAATTTTGCTTCGACGAGACGGGGTTGACTGGTGAACCACATTATTTTGAATATATATATTTTTGTCTCCGAGAATGTATATATTTTTTTGTCTCCGAGAATGTATATATTACAAATCTGTTTGTGCAATTTAGTTTCATTCTTACACGACACACAAACTTTCCACAACATAAACCCTAAAACAAAATATTTCGACATGGTTCGGACAAAAATGAAGGCCCGCCGGGTTTTTTTAGGGTTTT